ATATTACGTACTGCTTCTAATATCAGTATTTACTGTTCAAGTGACAAAGTTGGTACAGTTTACCTAGTGTAATACATTTTCCAGAATTCCGCCGTCAGCATCAATGCACTTTGCAACTTGTCATGGTGTGTACAGAGTACTGTACAGTGAAATAGCTCCGTCTCGGAAACTGTTCGAAAAGGATACGTTTATACACGTACATACACTTCTGGGTTAAAATGGCCGATATTATGACCTCCAAGAATGCTGACCTTTCCTCCTGGGACATTCTGTATAAAAAAAAAAACTACTATGCAATTTTGTTTTTAATAAAGGGCGGAGAATTTCTTGACTAGCCAAGCGACTGGACTGTGTTGCTTGGAAGTGGACAACGTAATATTCTTTTCCACCAGAATGGCATGATCAAATTATCCTCAAACTCCGCTATGGAGGCACATGCACAGCCGCTAAAATCGAGAAACTTCTGGGGCCTGGAGGGGAAGAAAGTCTTTTTTTATTGCTAGTGGGATGGGACTGAGTCCCTTGTACTGCGGCCACTTCTGGCCTATTGTACCAGCCCCAGATGATAGGTGAGGGTGATTGTGGAGCAATTGGTGGAATGAAGATTGGCGGGGGAGACCGAAGTACTCGGAGGAAACCTGCCCCAGCGCCACGTTATCCACCACAAATCCCACTTGACCAGACCAGGGATCGAACCCGGGCCGCCGCGGTTGGAAACCAGCGACTAACAGCTTGAGCTATTGCACCGCCCTGGGAAAGAAAGTAAATGAACAAGATTTTTTAACTTTACTTATTTCGCGCAAATATTATGTACGGATTCTATTTTAAGATTACTTTCTTTATCTCTCAAAAGCAAAATGAGGTATATGAGATCACTTTGCTGTCTGTGTGTCCCATGCATTTTTTTTTTTTTTTAGTTTTCTGAGCGGTCCTTGTCATATCAACTTTAAGTAGGATGTTACCGTATTTACGCATGTATAGGCCGCGTGCGTGTATAGGCCGCAGCACAATTTTCAGACAGAAATTATAGAAAAAATAATTTTCTTGGAATATTATTTCAGGAGTAGAACACCCTGTATTACTAATTATGAATATAATTTTTTTTAAATGAAGTGTGATTTCGAATATTTCGAATATAAGCCGCACCCCAGTTTTCCTCTTGAATTTTTGGCAAAAATTGTGCGGCCTATACATGCGTAAATACGGTAGTTCCTCCAAGAACTTCTTGTTTATTTATATTTTATCTTTGATAGACGTGATTAAACAATAATAATTATTATTATTTGAGATGCGCAGATCATGATGTAATGTGATATTTTCTGCCACTCATAGGAGTGTTTCTTCCAGTTCGAATGATGGCATGAAGAGTCCAGTCTTCAAATGTACCGCGGTCAGCAACAGATGTCTACGTGCTCCATAAAATGGAAAAGTTTGAGAACCGTCAGTGTAAGCAAAAGGTCGCTTTGAAAATGTTTCACCTAAGAAAAGAGAAATGGCGTAAAATCACTGCACATACATGACTGACCTTGACTAAGCTTTCTTGGAAATGATATCGACTGCTGTTCGCCAGGTCACCTTTGGTTTCTGACTGCCGAGCACCAACAGAGAACGACAGACAGGAGAAGTCAAGTACGACGACGAAGCCGGCCGCCTTTTACCACCAGGAACATTCCCGGTTCACATTTATGTTGGGGCACGCGGTACCGCAGTTGGTTGAGACACTGTGCTACAAGCCGGAAGGTCGAGGGTTCGTTTTCCGATGAGGTGGATTTTATCAATTGACCTAATCCTTCCAGCTGCACTATAGCCCTGGGTCCGACTCAGCCTCTAACAGAAATGAGTACCAGGAATCTTCCTGGCGGGTAAATGGCGGCCGGTGCCGCCAAGGTTGACAACCTTACCGCCATCTGTGAGCCGACTGACGTGAGAAAATGTGGGAGCCTCGACGTCTGACAACCTTATGGGCATTCACGACCTTTTAGAGGGATATCTTTTTTTTTTATTCATTTCTGTTAGAGGCTAAGTCGACCCCTAACCCGCAGTGCAGCTGGGAGAATTAGGTCGAGTGCAAAATCTAGTGATCTCATCAGGAATCGAACCCGCGACCTTCTGGCCTATAACATAGTGCCTCAGCCAACTAGTCTACCGCGTTCAGAATTGAAGGTTTAAAGAAAACTGGAATGAAACCTATTAAATATGGCTGCTTTCTCCACCCTCTTTACATGACTAATAATGGTGCAACAGTGAGCGAGCGTGTGTCAGTTAGTGAGGAGTCTCTGGCCAGGCCAGTTCACGTAACTAGCACAGGAGGTGTCCATGTATTTTTCCATGTTTCTTGTCCTTCATTCTCGTGTTTGTGCAGCCGATTAGCAGGCTCATAAGACTGAGTCAGATGCAAATAAACAATGCGTTCAATTTCCATGTTATTTCGTAAGATCCAGAGCCTGAAGAGCCAGATAAGTGAATTTACTTTATTCCTTGTCAATATTTAATGCCATTACTTCAAATTTCCCATAAAACTATAACATCCGTATTGACCCGCTAATTAAAGAATTAAAACCTACAGGGATTTCACCGAGCAGTTGAAAAGTAGGTCTCCATATATTTCCCTAATTTTATATTTTTGAAACCAGAAATTAATCTAAGCAATGCGAGAACTGAGGCACTCAGTTCAATGTTTACGAAGAGTAATATTGTGTGGAATGTGACGCAGTGTAGTCTGACAGAAAATCGTGTTTGAATAACCTCCCCATAGAGTCTACATATCGGGATAGATCAGTCTGTATAGCGACGGGCTGGACGGCCCAGGAACGAATCCCAGCAGGGGTAAGATTTTTCTTTACTCCACAGCGTCCAGACCGGTTTTTGGGACCACCCAACCTCCTATCCAATGGGTACCGAGGGGTAAAGAAGCCGGTGCGTAAAGCTAACCACTCACGTCCAAGTAGTCGAGAATATGTGGATCTACACATCCACTTCCCCACGCATTTTCATGGTGTAGTGTTTGATTAGTTAAGCACAGGGATAATTTTATCTTTTCTACCTTACCCCATAGAGTTTGATTTTGCAGGATTTGAAGTTCTCACGGGGGTTACTATGAAGTTTACTGATTTCTGGAATGCGACGCCGTGCGTTTTAGTATGTAGGTAATGTTCAAAGAGAGTCCTCTATACCCATTTTCACGGCAGAATATGTCTTAACACTTGCGTCTCGTCCACAGGTTTAGATATTTATCCAAATAAGATGCACTATTTACCCGATTCAGTGTGGATTAGTTTACTGCACTGTCAATGGTTACAGTATACAGCGTGGAGAACATCATTTACTGTTCACTTGTACCCTGAAGATGGAGGCAACATTTTCTTTCGAAACGTTAGTGAACATTAAAACAATTACACGGCCCAATAACCCAGAAAACCACAATAATAAGTGTTCATCGCAGTGGATATCTCAAATATCTTAGCAGGACTCCCTGGAAGAGTACCGTTGCAACGCAGAATAACAGGAAAAAGAATCCGAGCGAGATTCGAACCCAATATTCAAGGGTAAAAAACTGTACAATGTTTTGCGTCTCTCTGTTTTGGGGCACTTCACGGCGGTGTCAATATCTGGATTATACAACGGCGAATATAAGGACGATCGTTGAAAGGTAAATTGTAAAGGAAGTGGTCGTGGCCTAATCGAGGTACTATCCCGGTATTTACCCCGAGATACTGAGTAGAGCCACGAAAACCCTCAGGCAGAATATCCGGTTTCCCGCCCTAATACGCGTCTCGAAACTTACCGCCACGCGAATCCACGCGTTGTCACTGTCTTGCATCTATTTAACACACCTATTGCTTTAAAATCTGTTTCGCCCCCCAAAGCAGGAACCTTCCAGCGATGTGCTTGTGTCTGCTGATTCAGTTACGATCATAAGCAATTGCAGACCGATATATGAGACTTTAGGTTCACACTGCCATCAAATTTACGTTGTGGTCTTCTCGAATATGGCAACGGTTAGCTTGGTACGTGACTATCACCCAAAGCCTTTATCTTTAGGATCCATGACTCAGGAGGTATCACGGCCGACCCTTCGACTGACTCGTGATGTCTTGGCGTCGAGCCCTGTCTGGTCTCCTCATCAGGTTGTGACGTGCAGCAGACATCTACCGTTTTCCTCCATGTTGTTTCTTCCTCTCAGGGGAGACGAGGGGTCACATGTGCCAAGTGTGTTGCATGTGCTGTGAAGGCGGGCTTGTGTCTTCTCACTACAGTTTCGTAGGCAGATTAGTAACGGCGGTGAATCTTCCCCTTTAGGGCTGAAGGGAACAAAATATATTTAGTATTTCCTTAGTCACTCCACGCAAATTCCGGGGTATTATCTCATTACACCATGATCTTTTCCTTCCAAATACTTTCCAATTCATCAGCCGCCTGACATCTTAACGTTCTGTGTTATGTAATCTGAGATGGGGCCCGGATAGCTCAGTCGGTAAAGTAATGGGCTACAAGCTGGACGGCCGAGCAATCGGGGTTTAATTCACGGAAGGGAAAGAGACTCTATTGTCCTCCATGAAGTCCAGAGGGGCTCTGAGGTCCATCCATCCTCCTACGGGAATAAAGTGGCAGATGCGTGAAGCTGATCACACACCTGCATCTGTTGCCGAGATTAAGGATGATGGAGCTATACCTCCACTCCACCAAACGTAAACATGTCGTGGTGCTTAATAAATCAAGCCCAGGAATAAATTTACATTTTATTTCACATTTACTGTCAGGGATAGCTTTACCTTTTACCATGCTTCCTTATTTTCTTCAATTCAGAAACTCTCGCAAACATCCAGAGGACAGGCAGATGATTGGCTCATCCTTCCACCTCCCTTCCGGCTCCCACGTGACCACCATAATATTAGAGCCTGTTTGTTGAAGAATACTGACTATGTTTGATTGCAAAGCGACGGAATTGTTTTTAATTGCAATAGGTAGGCGAATCCTGCCCTCTCCACGCTGGGGAGCTGTGAAGAGGCTCATTAGTCATTCATCACGTAGAGATGGTTATTGCTGGACAAACACTGGCTTGTTATGAACTGGCTTTCATCAACACGTGCACTCAGTGAACAGGCAAATACAACGACAGTGCCTTGGTGGTCGCCATCAGCTGAACCTCAGTTGCAGCCTCGGAGGTATGTACTCAGTCCACTGTGTAGACAGAGCAGTGTTAGAAGCACCAGAAACACATTCTGTGCTTCTAGAGACACTGTGTTCCATAAGTATGCACTTTATGCAATTCTGAGTTATTCTAGCGGTGTAAGGTAAGATGTGATTAGCTGTGATATTGGGATCTCAGATTCTCACGGGGTTTAACTATGAAAGGTACAGTCTTCTAAGGTATGACGCCTCGTAGTCTGGTGAAGTTTGCTGTTTGGATGACTCCTCGATTCTGAATATGGAAGAGTTGCGTTCTTCAGAAACTAGATTACATAGCGTCACATTTCAGAAGGTAGTACTCGCCATTAGATTTTATCTTATTATTTTGTTAGTCTAGTTAAATATACAACAACATGAAATTTGTAGGTTATGTCACAGAACTTGACAACTTACACAGCGTATTTATATTTGGCATATGTACATTTTGAGGTAAGCTGAATAGCTTTTATGTGTCTCCCTTATTTGTATATAATATTAGTGAATAACAGTGAACTCGAATATGTCCGTCCGTATGTTTCGTCTCCGAAACCAATAAACGACATATTAAATCTGGTTCGTGGAATCTATACCGAAATTTTCCGGCGTACGTCTGCAATTCTGATCAAACGTATATTGGTACGTACCTAGCGCCTCGTGTAATGACAAAGTAGGGTCACCTAATGATTAGTTGATAGACCCCAGATTCTGTTGGCTGAAACGTAGTCTCATACACTGACAGAAGAAATTAAATCATAAGTATGTGGAAATACAGTGCATGAAAATGTCTGGACCCAAGAAGGGTGAAGCAAGTTAGCAATCTGGGATGTTACATAACCAGTAACTTGTGACTTACGGCATTTTTACGGTAGGTAGCATTAAGAGAAGCAGGGAATCAGGGGATTGATGCAGAATTTCGGTAATAAAATGTGTTGGAGAACGGGCATTCAGAACACAGGGGCCTGAAACAGAATTTTACGATTTATTTTAGGGAAGCGGGAGGATTGCGAAATGGATTGAACTACCTCATGAACTTGCAAAGCTCTGGGTTTGGTCATTATCGCCTTTGAACTTTGGAGATTATAATACAATTTAATTCTAAATTATTGTCAGATTTTCCATGACCTATAATTTTTAACCGGAAAGAACACCGCTTGGACATCTTACGTGCCATGAAAGGCGAGTAAGTTGAAGTTGTTTGCATTCTGCTGTATTGATTTTGCAACTGATAAAACGTTTAGAGTCACATTTTGATATTTCGTGAGCAGTTTTGTTTTATTCTTCCCGATTTGCAAATTATAGGCCCCGGAAACGCCGACAACAAATATGCTTTAATATTGATGATGGATTTGGAATGCCGGAGAACGCATCCGGATGTGAGAGCGCCTGCTTATATGCGCACTGCCTTCTGCTTTAGTTGTGGCATGTGCAGTGCAAAGAGACTGGACAAACAAAGTGACGAGGAGCCAGTTAGCACCGGTAATGGTCTCGAACGGGGGGGGGTCACTCTAGGTATCACTCAGTGTACTGACTTCTACTACTGTGAGATAGATCCGAGGAGGAACCGACAACAGGAATCGAAGTCCGTACAGAGAGAAAGACCCACATTTAGGCCCTCCGTGTAATTAAACCTATAGACTTTAAACACATGAAATCGATTATTGGAGAATAAAATGCCTGTATTTTTGCATGTTTGTGTAACTTGGTCTCTGACATTAAGGGAGGAACACAGACTGAGGGTGTTTGAGAATGGGGTGCTGAAGAGAATATTTGGACCGAAGAGGGGTGAAGTGACAGGAGGTTGGGGAAAACTGCACAATGAGGAGCTTCATAACTTGTACACTTGTCCAAGTATAATTAGAATGGTCAAGTCAAGAAGGATGAGATAGACAAGGCATGTAGCACGGATGGGGAGAAGAGGAACGCATATAGAATATTGGTGGGAAAGCCATAAGGAATGATACTACTAGAGAGATAGATGAGTAGGTGGGTGGATAACAATAAAAATTGATCTCAAAGAGAGAGGATGGGATTATATGGACTGGATCGATCTGGCTCAGGATAGGGACAAGTGGAGGACTCTTGTGAACACGGCAATGAACTTTCGGGTTGTATAAAATTTTGGCAAATCCGTGAGCAGCTGAGCGACTAGCGGCTTTTCAGGAAGGGTTCAGCTTCGTGTAGTTAGTCAGTGGTGGGAAAATCAAAAGTTTTTTTTTTCAAGTATTACTCCGAGACCAAATATTCTGGTTGCTTAATGTCTTAAGTAAATTTTTCTGGACTACCTGAGAATATCAACACATTGAGAAAATAAAAAACTTACAATTAAACTTAAATTAAATATTATAGGGTTCTGACAATTGTGTATAACACACAGAGATACTGGGTTCTCGGACGATGGATGAAGTCCGAGAACCGAGTATCTCTGTAAACTTAAATTAATTGTTTCCCATCTCTCCCTCCAACTTTCGCAGCACAGAGCTGATCACTTTACAGTGATCAACGAGTGATCCTTGGACAAGTGATCAGCTCGTCGCAAGGCCGCAACCTAAACACAGGACAACATACACACAACAAACATCCACGCCTTGTGTGGGATTCGAAGCCAGGAAAACAGTACATTCCCTAGACCGCTCGGCTACCGTGGCCGGCCAACTTAAACTAAATACGCCTTCGTGTCTTTGTGTTCACATGGGACGCTATGGGTATGTAAGCCGTAATTACGTTAGGTCATTTTGTGCGTTCAGCCTCTGTCTCCTGGCACGAGCATTTCTTGATGAATTGTTTCCTGGTTTACTTAACGACGAGTTTTAAACTTCTAGGTTTTGTGGTGCTGAATGCTAGCATGGTATGAGACTGACAAATTAAAACGGATTTAGAAGTAAATCTGTAGTAGATATTTCTTAAGAGACATATTAAACCGTTACACCTCATCACAGATAAATAAGTAGCAGAAGTCAAGCAAGTATAATCAGTTTAATAGGAGAAAGCACAAGTTCTGCCTTTACATGCTTCGGTCATTACTGGCCATCATTATAAGGCATATCCAACATTACAAAGGAATTAATTTGAATGTACTGTTTCAACATAGGCGGTTAATGAATTCATCATCATTGGCAAAACAACACTTTCTGAGCCATAGCCTTCCTTGCAAGATTCTGTCATACTGCATCCGGTTTTCACTTCTTTAGGTTTCGCAACAATAAATTGTTACAGAGCAAGATCGTCGCTCTTGCGTCCACACCTCCGTCTGGAGTACCAGGTCTTGTTATGTTCCTCCAGTGACAGGGTGACCCAGGTGCTCTATCCGTCACTTTCTGTGACTCGCAAGGCTACGGTGGAGGCATTCTAACCCGCCTCCCCACGGGGTTCTTACTGTGTCATCATAGTACAATGCATACAACGATCCATGTTACTTCCTAGCTGATCCATCTGAGATTTCATGAATATGCTTCTTATGTATCTTAAATATTGGTTCTCGAATCCCCGTCTTCAATTTTCTTATATTCTGCATGTGTCGGGCATTTCTGAATCACACTGGGCATTTTACAGACCGTTCTTAATTTGCTCTTCATTTGGTCTAATCGGGGTGCTCGCGGTAGTGTAGTTGGTTGAAACGCAATGCTCAAGCAGGAAAGTCGCGGGTTCAATTACCCATGAGACTATTTGATTTCTCAACTTACCTAATCCTTCCAGCCGCACTGTGGCCCTGATGTCGACTCAGCCTCTAACAGAAGTGAGTACCAGGAATCTTCCTAGGGGGTAAAGGGCGATAGGAGCATAAGGCTGACAACTTTACAGCCATCTGTGAGCCGAATATCCAGAAAATATGGGAGCCTCGACGTCTCACAAGCCTATGGGCCTCCATGGCCTGTTACAGGAACCCTTTGCCTTTTTGGTTTCATCATGTAGGGTGCGCCAGACCGAGGTATCTGCATTAGGGTAGCAACTGCTGCTATCCTGGTAGGCTCACGTGATTGGTCAGTTGACGATATGTTTCTATCCATCCATATATCACACATTGGTTCACCTGCACTCGAGTGGATCTCGTAATTTCCTCAAGAATCCTTTGTTGCCCTGCTGACAACCTTGATGACACAAGATTGTGTTGGGAGAAGGCCTGTCTCGCTATGACCTCGAGCTGCAAGCTCTGATTATGGACCTTGTTCCTCCACTGCCGATGCTGGGCGACATGTTGACGGGCGCTGCGACGGAGAAGGGCAGCCGTCGCCCGTCGCCGTGAGACACCTCGTATTGAGGACCCTAGTGTCGCGGCCCTCCGTCCACATAACTTTCCGAATGCGGGTTTTTCCGGATTGTACAAGTAATCAGGACATTTTCTCTTGTGCTCTGCATCAATCTTACGTGCAAGGGCCATATATGTAACCTTTTCTTCTTTGTTTATTGATATCCACGTAACACCGAGTCCTTCTTACGCCATTCATTGGCGAATAGAACGAATGTAATTTCCTCATCAGCCTGACGCATTCTTAGTATCATGAGTAAAGCTGGAGAAGACAAACACGTCTGTTATGTTCTGCAGGGTACACTGCCTTCTGCTGCTGCTTCTGCAGGTGGTGAGGTTTTTGCACGTGTTGTTGAATGCATTCAGTCCGTCTGCGTATCCTGGGGAAATCATTTCGGAAAAAGACGACTTTCTGCTGTTAACGGTGGCGTTGGCCACGGCTGGGTGAGTTGATATAATGGGCACATTTTTACGGGGTTTGTAATTGGAGTGTCGATGGTGAATTCGCAGTTCCCGCCCTTCATAAGGGATGTCGAGCGCTTTTTTTTTTATTACGGTTCCGAGATGAGCTCTTCTAGTTAAATAAATCTTACAAAGACACTTATGTTTTTTTACGTATAATAATATCATGTGTCAGCGACTAGACACGGGGTTTTGGATTGGTAGTTGGATCTATTGAACACTTGTAATTCTAATTACAAATACTTATAACGCTCTCACTGACCTACGCACTCTAAAAATCACTACCGCAAT